ATATATTACCTATATATACATGTAGCCACATATTTTTTTATATGCTACACCAATTCTTCAGTTTTAATATTGTAGAAGTGAAAAATAATGCAACATTAAACTGATGAACTTTCCGTAACATATAACCAGTAACCTACGTAATATATTTTTAAAACTCTAACAATTCTTTAAACAAATTTAAACAGATTTTACAACATTGCTGTGCAAATACTACATAAATACAAATACATAAATATTTCAGCAACAGGAAATAGTAGAAAAATATCCAGGAAGGAACTTGATACAAAACAATTGCAAAAGGTTCTTCATTACAGCAAATAATATTTAATAATAGAAAATAAATGTTAAGTTTGTAATCATAGTATGCAGTTACAGCACAGAACAATACTAATGTTTTGAACAAGTGCAACTGGATTTCATTTTATAATGTATCTCAATATCAACAAAAGAAAGATATTATAGATAGAAAACAAAAACAAACTTTAATCCTGAATAGTGTTGTTGTCATTCCATACTCGCCCACTGCGCAGTGTTAGCTGGTCATTGTTGTAAAACTATTTACGTGCACTTATTTAAGTTGCTCGAAGTATCATTTAGCGCTCCTTAATAGCAAAATATCGAACACGGGTCCATTACGAGAAAAAGGACATGCAACACAAGAAGTGCCCCTATGAGAAGCGCATCCGTGAAAATAATGCCAATATATTTTTTATTCATTTTGCATTTGTTGCTCTGAGTCGGACGAGTTGCATTTTCAATTGTGCATTGTGGTACTAACTACATTTTTAATACCACTTTACTATTTTTTATTATTTATTATGTTTTTTATGAACTTTATTCGTATTTTATTGAATTTTATTATTAAAAATGGAAAAGCTATTTCATATCAATTTCCGGTTTGAAAGCACTACTTTATTTAAAATTTATTTTTTTTCTTATGTTTTTTTCTCTTTGGTTCCTTTTTTTTTATTTGTTGTCACAATATATAGAAGCAACACTTTGTGTCACCGCTTATAAAAGTTTGAATCTACAGGATGTGCCTTTATTGCTTCGCACACAGATTTTGTTGTTTAAAATACGAGTATCAACATTGAAGGAACTGTCATATTCACTTGCATTAATAAGGATTCATGTTTCACGTTACTTTCGCCTTGCCTTTGATGTCAAATTCAAACCAAGCAAAAAATATTATTGCTCCATACTTTGACATTATCAATGTCCCAATAAGATTATAGATAATTTGCAGGAATATATTTTTTGCATTACAAATTAACCATATCCTTATAAGTACCAGGATCTCAAGTAACGAGATAGTTGAGTGACAACAGTAAAATATATGTACTCGTATTAACAAGTTGTTGTCGCTTTGCACTGTCACTATGTTACTCGGCTCTGCAGCTGCTTTTACACGAGATCGTGAATGCACCTATACATTGATTTTAGCATTCTTCACAATCCTCTGAATAAAAAGTGCGAGTTGTCATCAATTATGTGTAGCACTGCTATGTGTCGTATGTGTTAACTATCAGGGAGCTGCAGTGCTTAATTTGTTAATTATAACATGTTCCAACTGCAACTAAAACAATTTGTGTTAATCAAATTAAGATTTGGTCGTTTCCATTGGCATAAAGTGATTTATGCATGTGAAAGAATTTTTATGTGTCAGAAAGTTGTAGGAGAGATTTTGTTTGTTTATGTTTCAGTTAATATTTAACTGAAATGAATATTATTTGTTAAATAATATATGATATTGTATAATGATATCAAATATAAATGTACTTGATATATAAACTATATGAGTTTATAATAATTTTTGAGCGAGTTAATTGGTTAATTTAAATACAAAAAAAAACTATAATTTATTATTGAAATTAATATTTAATATTAATTTAGTTAATATTTAACTGAAATGAATATTTTTTGTTAAATAATATATGATATTGTATTATGATATCAAATATATATGTATTTGATATATAAACTATATGAGTTTATAATAATTTTCGAGCGAGTTAATTGGGTAATTTAAATACAAAATAAAAACTATAATTTAATAATTATATTTAAACAAATTATTATTATTACGTTAAGGCTAGTTGAGTCAGTGCACTTAAGCGCTTCTACTCTCTAATAACTGCGAGGTTTCTTCATAACCCCTCTCTACGTCTTGACTGGATTATTGTTTATCACTTCATCTGACTAAACAATAATTGACCTCAGATCTGCATAACTCCCCTTGGAGCCTGTAACGATTTTGAGATTCGATAACGCGGTGTTGGTAAGCCTGTCAGTTTTCGTATTAAAATATTATTCCGATATTTTAACTATCTTTGATTATCATCTTCGAGGAAACTTTTTATATATCAATTATATGTTTTATTTATAAAAAAACAAACATTTTAAAAAATCCTTACCTCAGTTTGTTTTTTGATTATTTACATTTTGTTTCATTTGTTAAATATGTCAAATTTCAATAATTTCACTTTGAGGAAATATGTTTTGCAATATTGCATTCGATATTGGTGTAAGTTTCGTACTAAATTAAAAAACATGAAAGTTGTTTGTATAGTTAATCAAATTTCATTAGCGACTTAAATCAAATAAGCTGTTTTAATGAAGGCAGTGGGAACATATTATTAGAATGTTTAAGGTTTTATTGTATCACGAAATGTCCAGCCAAGGCAATTGTGTAAAGTTGTAGGCATCAAAAATTTGAAAGAGATTTGATGAAGATATAATGTCACAAAATGCTAACAAGCTCATCAGTGATGAAAACATAAAAAAATTAAACAAATTATACTTGATAATACCGATAATAAATTAAGCTCGGAATTCACTTTTTGAGAAGACCTTAGTCAGTTACAAAAATTCTTCTAAATGCATATCTTTATCATCTGTTATTATAGGTTCGATTTGGTTTCAGAATCTTCGAATTTTGCACGGTAAAATAGTGGGCCGATAGACTTAAGGACCTAATTAGATCCTAATTAGATAGATAAAATGCTAATTTGACATTTGACAAATAGAAAATTCGTATATTACTAATTATATCTGCATACAGAAAAATAAATCATTTCATTATCAATAAAAACTTTTTTAATTAACTTCAACAATATTTATCAATAAATTTTGTGAAATTATATGCAATTCTATAAGAACAAAATCGATACTTTATAAAGTTCATATTTTTGCAGTAACTGCACTCCAAATAAACTTAAAATTTTTTTAATAATAGAAGAAATACACAAAGCATTGCATTTCTAAGAGTTCGAAAGTTCACATAACTTAAGAAAATGTTTATATAAGGACATTTTCAAGAATTTCTATTGCTGATTGGAGTTTTAAATTAAATCGGAGATATGAACTTTTGAAAATTAGTTTACTTTTTATTTTACTTTGTAAAGTTTCTTGAACTTGGGTCAATCATAAATGCCTTGATTGCGAATAGCTCTTTTACTGTGTGTATTTCCGTTTGATTAAATATACGACGAAATAAACTTTAAGAAAATTGAAATAGAGTTGCAAGAATTTAAATTTTTTAACTATTTTATATAAATTAATATTAAGTAAAACTTTTTCTTGAGATACACCATTTATTACTAAATATTTATACAAATTTACACTGTTCAAGTAAAAAAAACTTTATTAACTAAAATAGTCAGGACTTGACTTTATAATAATCAATAAAACTTAAAGGAGCTATATCTGACCACTTTAATTCCAAAAAATTATTGCTCAACATTTTTATAATAAAAAAATATGCTGATTTTATATTAAAGAGTTATAGGATTTATGCTAAATTACAGAAATACTTGAAAGTGTAAAAAAAAAATCTTATCGAACAATGAACTAATTTTCATACATTCCTTGTACAAAGTATCCGAAATTATTAAACAAAATGAACAAAAAATTATCAATTGCTACCGAATACAAGCATCTAAGCTTGACTCTATCAGCCATACATTTTTCATGCATAATTCAGCTGCACCCTATCATCCTTTCACCGAGTTTACTTCTTGCAATTATAATCTTAGCTTTGGATTCAAAAGAAAGTCTCTGTATGATGTCAGATCATTACGCGTTTTCCAAGAGCCTGCGGGTCTAGGTCCCGGAGCTCTCCTCGCCAGCCGACCAAGTCCCGGCTAGTTACAACAACAATAACATTACGCTTTTTTTTCGGTCTTATTCATTGAGTTTTTTTTGACAGAAACTCTTATAACAGTTCGTATGTTTAAGTATGTTCTTTAAATGAGATTTTATTGAACCCATAATATCTATTATAGGTTCAATATATATAAAAACCACACAAATGGACATGTATTTGACACAGTAACCCTTTGAGTCCTTATATCTGACTATATTTGTTAATCCCATTCATAACATGAATAACCTCTGCAGCAGTATAACTATTTCTCAGGTCAAATATCAAGGACGCTTTCCCCCTTCTACGCTAACAATATCTACCTACAAGACCTCACTTTTACTGCATTTTGATTCACAACAGGACTCTTCGAAGCATTTCTCTAAAAGAAGGACAACTTTCAGCAAGAATTGGTCCAACTTATGTCAAGGTATATTAATATGTTTAATACATTCCTGTCATGAATTAATCAATGATATGTTTAATTACAGAATACATGTGGATTTTGTGTAAGCAAACTGTGAATATATTTAATTTTTAACTTAATATAATTTTTGAGATTTTATTCCCCAATATTCAATTGACATAACTTCTCTCACGCTACAGACACTTACTTTTATTCATATCTCCCAATTTTGACTTATAATTTCTTGAATTTTTGCTTCTATAATTCTGGTTGTATTTGCATTCCTGCTCTATATTTTACATATTAGGCGTGCAAATACTAGTAAATATTCAATACAAACTGCAACAATAATATATATATATATATATATATTACTTTTTTTATCGACTTTAAAATGATTAACATATTTACAAATGTATAATTAGTTATAAAAAAATTAGCTTTAAAACTTACCTCAACATTTTGTAGAATTTTATCCAAACCGGTTATAGTTATTTCCTGTTCATTTAAGTTGTTGGCATATAAAGCATCCGGTAGTACCTTAACACCAGGTACAAACTTCAAGGACAAGCTATCTGATAAACCATTTGGCAATTGAGCCTTAATATGAGTATAAAAATAAAAACAAAATAAATATAAAAGTACTAACATTGGCTTGAATAAATAACATTTTATATAAATACTCATATGCAAAAAAACAAAAATATAAAAATAAATAAGTAAAGAAATAAAATTCAAATGTTCACACCTCCAATTCAAAGTGAACGTCATTATTCTTAACGATGCTGAAGACCTCGTTGAAGTTTGATATCAAATCAATTTCACATGCATAACGACCACTACTAGACTCAAATATGGGTCTGACTTTGTAATGCTCAAGTAATTTTTGTCCCAAGGCTTGTTTTGATGTCAGACGGCATGTAAATAATTTGGCATTTATTTTCTCAACGATATTTGAGCACTTTGACACATTTTTAGCAATCTAAAGTAAATAAAAGAAAATTGAAGTCAAATATGTTTTTATCTATTTGTATATAAAGAACACATATGAATTACGCATACTAACTAGATTCGTATATTTGTCTATTTGCAAATGATTACGTATAATCAAATAGCCACGGTACGTTGACCCACTGAATATGTCGAACGACTTTAGTAATTGCAACTAAGAAGAATTGAAATATAATAAAAGAAAAGTTTAATAAAATAGTTGAAAAATAAAAATTGTGCATCAAAACAAAAAAAAAAATTATATTAAAATGTAAATACATATAATACAAAAAATTATATAGAAATACTAACCACATCAGCTTCACGAACTTCTACATCATATTTAATGAAACTACCGCTTGCCACATCGCCATTGGTAACTATAACTTTTTCACTCAATTTAAAACGATTTCCAAATACTCTGGCAACACCTGAAATATATAAAAAATAAATTTAAAATCATGTTAGATAGCATAAAACTCCTTTAACAGGAATTGGAATAATAAATTTTAATTTAAGTACATAAATATGTTATAATTTAAGATGAATTTATTTTGCATAAATGTCAATAATAGAACATATACTTATTAATTTTTTGTTTATATAAATGTAAGATTAAACTTACAAAATAGGATTACTGATATACGGATATAGTGGTATACAATGAGAAAAAAAATAACCCTTACCAATAAGTTAATCATAATTTACATCGATTACTAAACACGCCACCTCACTTCACTCAAGCAGACAGTTAGTACTCAAAAAAATATAGTTAGTGCTTAAAATATACATTAGAATAAATATGTACTAAAGTAACAGCACTAAAAACAAGAAAAAATATTAAAGAAAAAACTAAAGGGCAAGTTAAAAGTAGAAATAAACTGAAACATTTACAAAAAAATGCCAGCTAACAGCACCAATCAAACAAAAGAAAAATTCCACAAAGAAATTGTGTAAAAAATATTCGTACAAACATTTTAATAATAATAATAATAATATTAATAAGTTAATAATTCTTTGAAAAAGATTCAAATTATTGACACTTGTAGGTTTTATATGTAGAAAATGAGGCCTTAAAACACGTAATGAGAGTTTGCCCGATGTACATATTAAATAGAATGAAGAAATAAAACTCTGTAATGGAGACTCAATACTACAATATACTCAAGAAGTTGGACTATAGTTATACGCAAAATCCTCACAACTATTATAATTTATGATCAGATTTAAAGTTTAGTAGGGATGAGAATGACCTTAAAATACGTACTGGAAGTTTGCCCGATGGTTATATCAAATAGAATGATGAAATAACGCTGTAGTAATGATGATTCAATACTGCAATATATTGAAGAAGTTGAGCTTGAAATAATACGGTAAATCCTCACAACCATTATAAATTCTAATCCGATTTATGTTTTGTAGGGATGAGAATGACCTTAAAATACGTACTAGGAGTTTGCCGGATGCACATATCAAATAAGATGAAGAAATAAAACTTTGTAATAAAGATTTAATACTACAATATATAAAAAAAAAAGCAATAAGTCCTCACAACCATTATAATTTCTGTTCCGATTTAAGTATAATGACTTGATATATAACGCAAACGATTTGAATAAAATCCTGTATACAGGGTATTTGAATAAACCCCTGTATTCCTGTCGATAAGTATTAGAAATGGATATTCCACATTTGATTTTTGTGTTTCTTAAACTGAAGAATCAACGCCGAACTCAATGGAACATTCGACTTTGTATTATAGAATATAATTTCTTTGGTAAAAAAACCGACTAATTTGATTATTATGGATTGAATATACAGTCAAACTTTTATAACTCGAAGCACCATTTTACACAGAAAAGATTCAACTTGTGGAGAATTCGGGTTAGAAATTTTTTTGTGTGATTGCATGTAATTTGTTCTCTAAACCCTGTTGCACATTATTTAATTCGAGTTTTAGAAGTTTGAGTTATAGAAGTTTGAGTTACAGAATTCAAGTTAGAGAAAATTCGAGTTAAAGAAATTCGAGTTAAAGAAAATCCAAGTTATAGAACTTCGAGTTATAGAAGCTCGAGTTAAAGAAATTTGAGTTATAGAAATTCGATTTTATTATTAAAAAAAGAAGGGATTGTGCACTGCAACCTAAACGCTCTATTGTGCACCTTACTCGGGTTAGAGTGTTTCTCCAAGTCCGATTTCTTTAATGAAAGACAGTATAGAGCCTACCTTTCCTAGTCTTGAATCTTTATGATCCATGAAATTCCATCCTAGGTATTGCTTCCGCTTGTGCATCAGTGCCTCAGCACATGGTATGCAATTTCTCTATAGTTATATTATAACTCTATAATTCGAGTTATAGAAGTTCAAGTTATAAAAATTCGAGTTACTGAAGTTAGAGTTATAGAAGTGTGAGTTATAGAAATTCAAGTTATTGAAGTTAGAGTTATAGAAATTCGAGTTACTGAAGTTAGAGTTATAGAAGTTTGAGTTATAGAAATTCTATATAATTATAGAAGTTCGAGTTGTAGAAGTTCAAGTTATAGAAGTTTGAATGATGGGAGTTAGACTGTATTTTTTTGAATTTACAATATAAAAGAGCTTTCTTTTACTCATTTCAAATCTGTTTTATGTAGTCATTTAAAATGTTTAAAAATTATTTCAAAAAATATTAAACATTAATATAGAAATATTGTTAATAAATATGAAGGGCATTACATTTTGGCATACAAATGAACCTAAAATAATATTGATTTGAAAATGAATTTATTTGCTGTTACAAGGTGTAGAAGAACATTTTTTGTGTGTTCTCAGTAAAACAAAGCCCAAACTTCAGATCCTTTGCTAATTTCTGAAATTGTGAAAAAATTCTAGGCACAAAAAACAAATAAAAGCATTTTGATTTTATATTATTTTTGCAAACAAATGAATAAAATAAATAAACACAAACCAACAAAAAAAGACGAAAAGAAAAAAGCAACGGCGGAACCCAGATAAAAGCATGGGAATATCTGTTGAACGAGTATCTGTTGGTAATAATATTTCATTGTATTAAATTTGCTTCAATAATTCGCGGTTTCATGGAAAACAATTGTGCGCTTATCACAGAATGAATAAAAGTTCCGAATTTTGCGCCACCCAATCAAGACGAAATTTAATTTGAAGATAACCTAAATTTGCTACAGGATATCGATTTAAATCGATAACTGGAAATTCGAGTAAAACCGAAAAGCAGACTGTAAGTAGGGACCTGCAAATTGGTTCATATTTCAGTAAAGTTCTACTTTATGCAAATTATGAAATTAATATCAACAATAATGAAGTCTTAAGCAAAAGATTTTTAAGTCAAGTCAGTTTATTACACATTAAGAAACACTTAAAAAGCTTTGATTAGTAAGTGACACGTTGCTCGACTTGCGTTAGAATGAAGGAAAATAATTTAAGAATCTTTTTGATTTGCTTATCAATTTTTGTGTCATTTAGGTACGCAGTTTGTTGAAGTGCAAAGTCTTAACACTTGAACGCACTCCGTCCGTACAACTTTTGCATTTGTAAGTGAAATACTAAAACTGGAACTAAAGCAACGACAGCGATGACAACTGGGACAACTGGGACAACGAGGACAACTACGACGAAGAAATGTCAGAGGAAGACAACATTTCTGGGCGAGTTTTTGAAATGTTTGAAATTGTTTGAAGTTCCATTAAAATGTGTGACAAAATATTTTATAAAGGGAATTTAATAAATTTTTAATGCATTTTTTATGAGAGCAACTTACAAGAAAACTGTGGATGGTGGGAGGAATACACAAAAGATTGGACACTTAACCAAATTGAACGAACTATGCACGTTTGAATGGAAATGTTATGAGTTCAAATAAATGTTAAAAGTTTTATCGAAAAATGTTCCCAAAATAAAATCAAACAAAATTCAAATTTTAACTGAACTAATGAACACAATTATTTTTTATATACATATTTAAAAGCCAAAGTTTTTCTCGGAACTTAAAACCAAGACTATTGATCTCATTAAAAATTAAACAGCACTTTGAACTCAACGCGAGTACCAAAGAAATTAATCTAAAAATAAAGAAAGTATAGAAGATAAGTTAAGAGGATTATTAAGAATTTATAGATGTCATATAATTTTAATCTATAAAAGCTAAAGAAAACTTTACGATGAATTTATAAATAGAATCACTGCTCTTTGAAAGGAAAATATTACATTTGGTAGTTAGGTCCTAATGATATTTAATAAAATAATCGTAATATTATATACCTTTAAATATATAAATTTTTTTAATTAAACAGAAGCAAAACGTAATTGTTGAAAAATTTTTAAAATACTGAAAAATTTTTACGTGCTGAGATATAGAGAGCTGATGATGAAAGGTTAGTAAACCTTTAAATAGGAGACTATTTAAGTCAAACATCATCTCAGTGTTACTCTATGGATGTGAGGCCTGGCTTGTTAACGACTTTCTTATTGGGCAAAATTAAAATTTCGTCAACAGATGTCTTCGACGTATTCTCAAAGTGTGGTGGCCAAATGTCATCAGTAACTCCGATTTTTATGAAAAATATAAATTGGAACCAATGGCCAATTCCATAAAACTACGAAAATGGCAATGACTAGGTCACATATTGCGAGAATACGCCACGAAAATTTATCGACAAGCTCTTGTTTGGAACCCTCAAAACAGCCGTAAGAGGGGACGTCCTAAAAACACATGAAAAAGAACATTGGAAAAGCAGAACGAAAACTTCAGAACAACGTGGAACGAGCTAAAGATTTTGACGAAACACAGAAGCAAATGGAAATGCTTTATTGAGGCCCTAAGCTCCAATAGGAGATCAACTCCAATAGGAATTGATGATGATGATTAAAAACTGTGACATAGGTATAACGCATTAGAAGGCGATATATTATAATATATAATAATAAAGTTATAATAAAGTCCAAGTCATTAAAGTTTGTCAATAAAAGCGATCAAATAAAAACTTAAGTAATAACGACCGAATAATTCAATATTCAAAAGAATTCAAAAGAATACTTCAATATTAAAAATTGAAGATACACAATGTTAAGTGTATCTATAATTTACCATATTTATAATAAATTTAATAATAAAATCTGTGATAGATAATCCATTAAAGGGCCGTAGAGAAAGCCTAATTACTTGAATACAGAAAAGTATATAATTTTATACTAGTAAATAGAAGATGAACAACGTAGAAAGATAATAAAGTTTATGTCATTTAAATCTGTGTCAAATAATGCAATAGAAGGTGATATAAAAGATTTATTAATTAAGCGAGGAAAAACAATAGTAAAAATAATAAATTGTATAATAAATTGTATGCAAAAAAAATCTGTAATAAATAATGAGATAAAAGATAAAGTAGATAATCCAAAAAAAGGGTGCCAAATTATA